ATATATATAGCAAAGTCAAATCCCAAATACCTTACAAAAACCTCTCACATTGATAAACATATACAGAGTTCACAGTCAACATTAGCCAATTTAGTCAAAACATAGGTAGTATGATACTGATGCCGCCATGAACAGATCACTTACTTCTCTCAGGTGGACTTCATATAATCTCCTGCAAGACCAGGACCCACACGTTACTGAATTCACAAACACAATGAGTAACTGTATGTTGCTACCAACAGTAACAAAACCTACAAGAGTTACAGAGACTAGTGTTTCCCTACTTGACCACATCTGGACCAACCACCATATCCCCTTTAAAATCAGGAATATTACAGATACGTAATACCACAGACCACTACCCTACTTTCCTCATAACAACTCTTGGTAAACTACCCAAGACACTACTAAAGTCCCTTCAGACTTCACAATGAGGCACCCATTAATAACTTCACAACAACAGTAGCAAACATTGACTGGCACATTTGAGCTAGAAATCTATACAGATATTGCGAATGTATTAAAAAATTTTCTAAAAAAGACCCAATACCTCTATAACAAGCACTGCCCTAAAAAAACTAAAACAGATGACAGCTAAGAGACTGAACAGTCCCTGGCTAACACCCAGCATTCTCAAATCCATAAATACAAAAACACCAATATGAAAAACAGTACAGAATGGGTCACATAACCAGAGACAAACAAAAGTTACTCGTCAATCCTAACCACCCTGAAAAGGGGCAAAAAAATTGTATTATGAGAACAGATTATCCAACTTACTAGGTGATATAAAAAGACCTGGAAAACCCTATCAGAAATTCTGGGAACAAAAAGATATCACGAAATAGCGAAATAAAATTAGCAAAATCAGATGAACCCCCAACTCCCACCAACAGAAACAGCAAACAGACTCAATGATTTTTCTCCACTATAGGACAAAACCTTTGCCAATAAAACCCCCAAGCTCAGATACCCCACCAAATGACCCCTCACGGCAACTACCCAAAACACACTGTTCCTAGCTCCGACTAACCCATACGAAGTCTCCCTTATTATCAACGCACTAAAAAACAAGGCAGGAGATTTAAATACCTTCCCACCCTTTATATAAAAAAAAATGTCACAAGTGCTATCACCAATCATTGCAACACTCTTTAAAAAATCCATTGAATCCTCCACCTTCCCTACAGTACTCAAAATAGCAAGGGTCACCCCGATCCACAAAGGAGGAGACCAAAACAGAGTTGAATAACTATAGGCCAATATCCAACTTACACCCTCTCTCAAAAATCTTCGAAAAATAATTCATAAACGAATTACTCCTACCTTATCCCCCAAAACATACTCAACCCCTGCCAATTTGGATTCAGGCCTAATAAAAATACTAATGATGCTATTATAACATGCTAGAACATATATACACTGCAATAGAGAAAAAAAAAGTCCCACTGGGATCTTCATTGACTTGCGTTAAAGCTTTTGATACAGTTGACCATGACTTGTCCACGTTAAAATTGTCACACTATGGTATTAAGAGGGCACTCCCTCAACTACCTCAAGTCATCCCTCAGCAACAGAAGCCAATATGTGTACGCAAATGGGGCAAACTCTTCTGCACAACCAATTACATTGGTGTCCACAGGGAAGTGTCCTTGGCCCCCTTTCTCTTTCTCCTATACTTTAAAAGACCTACCAAATGCTTCGCAATTACTCAAACCCAACTATTTGCAGATGGGCACTACATACGTCTTCTCCCACCCGAGCCCAGTCACGCTAGCCAATTTCTGTAAATACCCAATTACAGAAAATATCTACCTGGATGAGGACTAACAAACTTACACTAAACATTGACAAAAACCACTTCATCAGTTTGGTAACAGAGCTACAGATGTCCGTCTTAACATAATGATAAAAAGGATCACCTATCACAAAGCTAACAGAGGGAAAAAATTTTTAGAATCCACCTTGATAATAGAATCAAATTTCATACAAATTATACAACAAATTTCTAAGAAAATTTCCAAGACTGTAGGCTTTCTATGAAGATACAGTACTATGCTCCACAGTCAGCCCTCCTGGCCCATAAACACTCTTATTTACCCCTATCTCACCTATGGAATTTGTGCATTGGGGCTCAACAAAAAATTAACCATCTAGACCACTAATTACCCACAAAAGGCTGCAGTTAGAATGATAACAAATTCTTTACAAGGCAGCACACTCCACCAATATTCAATACACTAAAAACCCACTCGCCATACAAAACATCCATACTTATTACTGCACCTATTACATACATAGAACCTTAACTCTGATATTAACCCCCCCCTCAAACATCTCCTTGCCAACCTCAACAGAACACATGACCAAACACAAGGCACAGATCACTCTTTGATGTTCCTCGTGTCCATCTCACACTATGCAAAAACTCAATGCACATAAAAGGCCCTAAAATCTGGAATTCATTACCTGTAAACATAAAGAAACACTACCTGTTTATAAATTCAAGTTCTTCTCAAAGATCACTTACTCACCCAAAACCAAATTAAATACTGAATAACTGAACCTTATAAATTGTATATCTTAAAAGTTTCTCACAATTATATCACATAAATGTTTAAACCTAAAACCCAATCTAACTTTATTATTTTTTAAATACACTACCTAACAGAATACTCCATACAACTGAATGTACAACAATGCATGCAACCACATGACCTGTCTTTGTAATACTCACTTGTGCTTTATAGTAATCTGTTTACATTAATGTTTTATCACTGATTTCATCATTGCTTAGTTAATCTTAAGTTAATTTTAAGCCAGCCCGTAATGCTATGCATAGTATAAGTGGCTTTGGCATGCTGCTCTTATCTGTATTTTTTTGTACCTCTGTATGTGTGCTCAAATTTTTTAATAAATAAATAAATAAATAAATCTTCGATAGTATGCCTACGGTCTTGGAAATTTTTTTTGGAAATTTGTTGAATATGTGTTTGAAATTTGAGTCTATTGTCAAAGTGGATTCCTAAGAATTTTCCCTCTGAGTTTTGTGATAGGTGATCCGTTTATCATTTATCATTATGTTAAGAGGGACGTCTGTAGCTCTGTTACCAAACTGAATGAAGTAGGTTTTGTCAATGTTTAGAGTAAGTTTGTTAGTACTCATCCATGTAGATATTTTCTGTAATTCAGTATTTACAGTATTGGCTAACGTGACTGGGCTCAGGTGAGAGAAGACGTATGTAGTGTCATCTGCAAATAGTGTGGGTTTGAGCAGTTGCGATGCATTTGGTAGGTCATTTATGTATATGAGAAAGAGAAGAGGGCCTAGGACACTTCCCTGTGGGACACCAACTGTAATTGGCTGTGCGGAAGAGTTTGCCCCGTTTGTGTACACATATTGGCTTCTGTTGCTGAGGTAAGACTTTAGGTAGTTGAGGGAGTGCCCTCTTATATCATAGTGTGACAATTTTATATGGAGCAAGTCATGGTCGACTGTATCAAAAGCTTTACGTAAGTCAATGAAGATCCCCAGTGGGACTTCTTTTTTCTCTACTGCAGTGTATACGTGTTCTAGCATGTGAATAACAGCATCATTAGTATTTTTATTAGGCCTGAACCCAAATTGACAGGGGTAGAATATGTTGTGGGAGATGAGGTAGGAATGGATTCGCTTATGAATTAATTTTTCTAAGATTTTAGAGAGAGGGTGTAAGCTGGATATTGGCCTATAGTTATTCAAGTCTGTTTGGTTTCCTCCTTTATGGATCGGAGTGACCCTTGCTATTTTGAGAACTGTAGGGAAGGTAGAGGATTCTATGAATTTGTTAAAGTGTGTTGCAATGATTGGTGATAGTACTTGTGATGCTTTTTTGTATATAAAGGGTGGTAGGGTATTTAAATCTCCTGTCTTGTTTTTTAGTGTGGTGATAATAAGGGAGACTTCAGTAGGGTTAGTCGGAGCTAGGAACAGTGTGTTTGGGTAGTTGCCAGTGAGGTAGTCATTGGGTGGGGTATCTGAGCTTTGAATTTTATTGGCAAGGTTTTTTCCTATAGTGGAGAAGAAATTATTGAGTCTGTTTGCTGTTTCAGTTGGTGGGAGTTGGGGTTCATCCGGTTTTGTTAATTCAATTTCGCTATTTCATGATATCTTTTTTGTTCCTAGAATTTCTGATAGGGTTTTCCAGGTCTTTTTTATATCACCTAGTAAGTTGGATAATCTGTTCTCATAATACAGTTTTTTATCATTTTATCAGGCTGGTTAGGACTGATGAGTAACGTTTTGTTTGGTCTCTGGTTATGTGACCCATTCTGTACTCTTTTTCGTATAGGTGCTTTGTATTTATGGATTTGAGGATACTGGGTGTTAGCCAGGGACTGCTCAGTCTCTTAGCTGTCATCTGTTTAGTGTTTTTGGGGCAGTGCTTGTTATAGAGGTATTGGGTCTTTTTTTTTAGAAAATTATTAATACATTCGTCAATATTTTCATGCATATACTGACCAAATACACCAACCACTCCAAAACTATATCTCCACCTACTTTAAACATTTGTCTTGTTCCTATCTACCCCATCTTCTCTATCCCCTTTGATTCTACCTGCTGCCAGGCATACTTCCCTCATTCTCCCCACACACATCAGGCTCTTCCTCACTCCAAAATGTTACACAATAAGTTTTGTTTATAATTATGAAATTATAGAAAGCAAGAAGATTCATACTTACTGCATGTGAATATTAACTTACCACACCCTCTAAAAGACCCTACACACAAAATTTGATCCACTTGGTAAAATAAACAGAAAAATAATTAAAAAAAAAAATTCACAGTAACTTCAATTCAAAGACGGGCAGCTTCTTAAGAGCATAGTTGATTCTGAGGTAAAATTCATTTTCATAAGGAAGATGAATCCGAAAAAAAAGAGGTGTGGAAGATGAACCGAAGTTAAAAATTACAATTAAAAAAAAAAAAACATTTGCAGGTGTAGCAACTAATAACTTACTTTTCAGATTCTCCAACCCAAGAAGAGAAGAGACTGGCAGATGAAACACAATAAAATGGACAGCAAAGTTCTGTGGCCAGAGCTCGAGCTAGTTTGGTTTTTCCAGTGCCTGGGGGGCCATAAAGCAATAAACGAGTCCAGGGCTTTGCTCCACCTATAAAGGAATTATATAAATTGTAATTAGGTCCCTGAACCCATTATGTACCTCTAATCTTTTGACTACTGCCCACAGGATGGGTATGGGGTACATAATAAATATATTAAACTACAGTATTACATTTGAAGATTATAATTCATATTTTACATCTCCCACCACAGCATATAAATTGCATATAAATTTCATATATTTACACTAATTTATGTACTGTACCTTGAAAGAGCTGTGGATATTGCAGGGGCATGATCACTGCTTCCTTTAATATTTGCTTAACATCATGAAGACCGGCCACATCTTCCATTGACCCACCTTTGGTATTGCAAGGTAATATCATATCCTCTATTGTGAGACTATGGTTACTCTCTTGCTGGACTTCATTTTTACTTGGTTTCAAGCAGTTCCCACATGTCTTTTTGTTATCTGGAAATATTCAAAAGAAAACACAAAAGAAATACTAAATGCGATAGAGTACCTCTCTGATATCCTAATTTGTATGACAATCTAAGGAAAACCTCTAAGTAAACAAAAGCTTAAAAAATATGGAACAGTCTACCATCAGAATCTAAATAATGTCAAAACACTGCTTGGGCACGATGCAAGTTCAGTCAAGGAAGATCACAAAGTACTAGAGATACCGGGTAATTGAGCCTAACCACTTAAATTATATTTATAAAGCAATGGATAAATTCTGAGCTATAAATGACTGATTTAAAGCAGTGTTTGAGTGTAGATATATATCTCAGATTTTTTTAAAAATATTTTAACCAGTTCACTGAATATTTTATAATACATATAGCATACTAACTTCAAATTATTTCAGGAAATCTTTCAGATTACATCTCAGAAAAATAAAGAATTTTTATGGTGCATAATTAAAGCAATGAAGATTTACCACATAACATTGGGTAATATACAGAACTCTTGATACCATAAATAAACATCTATAATGGCTATTATCTTTCAGGAACTTAAAATACAATAGTGTTGTATACAAGTTTAGGTTATTAATGAAACATTTATTGTCATGATCATTAATGATGCAATCTACCTTCCTCTTAACCCAAAGTATATTGTATTTTAATGCACAACAGAATTAACAAATAAATTATCTCACTGTACATGCTTTGAGAAATACATACATACCTGGGACATCTCTCTATATCTACCATGCAACATATTGTTGGTCATTAAAAATGCTGAATGAAAATAACAAAATGACAGCCTACCAGAATCCTGAAATGATCCTTCACTGAATGTGCGTCGTCTGTCTGGTTTGCAACCATAACGTCGAGAATCCAACAAGGACTTTTGGAAACTTAAGGTTTCTAAAAGATTCTCTAAAGATGCCTGAAACAATACAGAAAAATCATTTATTCCTTGATTGCCAAATCATTTTATTAGACTAGTGCAATTAGTGCAATTATTTAATAAATGTATGGAAGAAAGTAAGGTACCTAGGGATTGGCAGAGAGCATGCATAGTTCCTCTGTATAAAGGCAAAGGGGACAAAAGAGAGTGCAAAAATTATAGGGGAATAAGTCTGTTGAGTATACCTGGTAAAGTGTATGGTAGAGTTATTATTGAAAGAATTAAGAGTAAGACGGAGAATAGGATAGCAGATGAACAAGGAGGCTTTAGGAAAGGTAGGGGGTGTGGGGACCAGGTGTTTACAGTGAAACACATAAGGGAACAGTATTTAGATAAGGCTAAAGAGGTCTTTGTGGCATTTATGGATTTGGAAAAGGCGTATGACAGGGTGGGCAGGGGGGCAATGTGGCAGATGTTGCAGGTGTATGGTGTAGGAGGTAGGTTACTGAAAGCAGTGAAGAGTTTTTACGAGGATAGTGAGGCTCAAGTTAGAGTATGTAGGAAAGAGGGAAATTATTTCCCAGTAAAAGTAGGCCTTAGACAAGGATGTGTGATGTCACCGTGGTTGTTTAATATATTTTTAGATGGGGTTGTAAGAGAAGTAAATGCGAGGGTCTTGGCAAGAGGCGTGGAGTTAAAAGATAAAGAATCACACAAAGTGGGAGTTGTCACAGTTGCTCTTTGCTGATGACACTGTGCTCTTGGGAGATTCTGAAGAGAGGTTGCAGAGATTGGTGGATGAATTTGGTAGGGTATGCAAAAGAAGAAAATTAAAAGTGAATACAGGAAAGAGTAAGGTTATGAGGATAACAAAAAGATTAGGTGATGAAAGATTGGATATCAGATTGGAGGGAGAGAGTATGGAGGAGGTGAATGTATTCAGATATTTGGGAGTGAACGTGTCAGCGGAAGGGTCTATGAAAGATGAGGTGAATCATAGAATTGATGAGGGGAAAAGGGCGAGTGGTGCACTTAGGAGTCTGTGGAGACAAAGAACTTTGTCCTTGGAGGCAAAGAGGGGAATGTATGAGAGTATAGTTTTACCAACGCTCTTATATGGGTGTGAAGCATGGGTGATGAATGTTTGCAGCGAGGAGAAGGCTGGAGGCAGTGGAGATGTCATGTCTGAGGGCAATGTGGGGTTTGTGAATATAATGCAGAGAATTCGTAGTTTGGAAGTTAGGAGAAGGTGCGGGATTACCAAAACTGTTGTCCAGAGGGCTGAGGAAGGGTTGTTGAGGTGGTTCGGACATGTAGAGAGAATGGAGCGAAACAGAATGACTTCAAGAGTGTATCAGTCTGTAGTGGAAGGAAGGCGGGGTAGGGGTCGGCCTAGGAAAGGTTGGAGGGAGGGGGTAAAGGAGGTTTTGTGTGCGAGGGGCTTGGACTTCCAGCAGGCATGCGTGAGCGTGTTTGATAGGAGTGAATGGAGACAAATGGTTTTTAATACTTGACATGCTGTTGGAGTGTGAGCAAAGTAACATTTATGAAGGGGTTCAGGGAAACTGGCAGGCCGGACTTGAGTCCTGGAGATGGGAAGTACAGTGCCTGCACTCTGAAGGAGGGGTGTTAATTTTGCAGTTTAAAAACTGTAGTGTAAAGCAACCTTCTGGCAAGACAGTGATGGAGCGAATGATGGTGAAAGTTTTTCTTTTTCGGGCCACCCTGCCTTGGTGGGAATCGGCCAGTGTGATAATAATAATAAAAAGTAATTACTTAACAATATATACTTCTTTCGTCCTTCTATCAAGTAAAAAAAAAACCATTCATTTAAGAAACAAAAAGCTTTAATATTGGAATCACAATTTTTTTTTTATTAACACATCGGCCTATTCCCACCAAGGTAGGGTGGCCCGAAAAAGAAACTCATTATCATTCACTCCATCACTGTCTTGCCAGAGGGGTGCTTTACACTACAGTTATAAAACTGCAACATTAACCCCCCTCCTTCAGAGTGAAGACACTGTACTTCCCATCTCCAGGACTCATGTCCGGCCTGCCAGTTTCCCTGAATCCTTTCATAAATGTTACTTTGCTCACACTCCAACAGCATGTCAAGTATTAAGAAAACATTTGTCTCCATTCACTCCCATCAAATGTGCTCATGGAAGCTTGCTGGAAGTCCAAGCCCCTCGCACACTAAACCTTTAAGCTGTCCCTCCAACTCTTCCTAGGCTGACCCCTACCCTGCCTTCCCTCCACTACAGATTTATACACTCTCGAAGTCATTCTGTTTTGTTCCATTCTCTCTACATGTCTGAACCACCTCAACAACCCCTCCTCAGCCCTCTGAATTTATTTTATTTATTTATTATTATTTGGACATGATACATAGTTGTACGAAGAAATATAGTGATTGGGTGTGCATGCCAAAAGCCCTTTGTATGCAGAGCATTAGGGGCAGGCTTAAAATTAACTTTAGATTAACTAAGCAGTGATATATTCAGTGGTAAAAATTACAGTAAACAAATTACAACATGAAGTACAAATGAATATTTCAAATAAGAAGCATTAAAGTTGTACAAATTTATAGCATAACAATGTATAATATAATCGAATCAGAGCGAGTAAAATCAATGTTTTGAAGTGCAGAAACAGGTCATGTGGTCATTAGACGAGTTACTGTACATTTAAGAGAATGGAGTATTCTATTAGGTAATGTAATAAAAAAAAAAAAACAGTCTGATAAAGTCACAGGTTATACATTTATGAGATACGTACAGTTATTCAGTATATATTTAGTTGTGGTTGAATAAGTGGTTTTTAAGAAGAGTCTTGAACTGATAAACAGACAGTATTTCCTTTATATTCACAGGTAATGAATTCCAGATTTTTGGGCCTTTTATATGAATTGAGTTTTTACATAGTGTGAGATGGACACGGGGAACATCAAAGAGTGATCTGTCCCTTGTGTTATGGTCATGTGTTCTGTTGAATCTGGTAAGGAGAAGTTCGAGGGGAGGGTTTATATCCAAGTTTAGTGTTCTATGTATGTAGTAGGCACAATAATAAGTATGGATGTTTTGTATGGTGAGTAAGTTTAGAATTTTGAATATTGGTGGAGTACGCTGCCTGGAGTGGGAATTTATCATCATTCTGACTGCAGCCTTTTGTTGGGTAATTAATGATTGGAGATGATTTATTGTTGTTGAGCCCCATGCACAAATTCCATAGGTGAGATAAGGGTAAATGAGTGAGTGATATAGGGCCAGGAGGGCTGACTGTGGAACATAGTACAGTATCTTCGATAGTATGCCTACGGTCTTGGAGATTTTGGAAATTTGTTGTACATGTGTTTGAAATTTGAGTCTATTATCAAGGTGGATTCCTACTCTCTGTCTTACTCTTAATTCTTTCAATAATAACTACCATACACTTTACCAGGTATACTCAACAGACTTATTCCCCTATAATTTTTGCACTCTCTTTTATCCCCTTTGCCTTTATACAAAGGAACTATGCATGCTCTCTGCCAATCCCTAGGTACCTTACCCTCTTCCATACATTTATTAAATAATAGCACCAACCACTCCAAAACTATATCCCCTCCTGCTTTTAATATTTCTATCTTTATCCCATCAATCCCAGCTGCCTTACCCACTACCTTTTACTTTCACACTAGCTACAACTAGTAAGTGATCCGATATATCTGTGGCCCCTCTATAAACATGTACATCCTGAACTCTACTCAACAGTCTTATCTACCAATACATAGTCCGACAAACTACTGTCATTACATCCTACATATATCTTGTATACTTATTTATCCTCTTTTTCTTAAAATGCGTATTATAACTAAACCCCTTTCTATACAAATTTCCATCAAAGGGCTCCCATTATCATTTACACCTGGCACGCCAAACTTACCTACCACACCCTCTCTAAGTGTTTCTTCTTTAGCATTTAAGTTCCCTACCACAATTACTCTCTCACTTGGTTCAAAGGTTCCTATACATTCATTTAACATCTCCCAAAAAATCTCTCTCTCTCCTCTACACTACTCTCTTCTCCAGGTGCATACATGCTTATAACTACTAATATGTATTAAACTAATAAAAGTATACAGTAGTGTACAACAGGTACATTTTGTAAGTGAAGTACTGTACAGTAAAATTCTAATGAATATCAAATTCAAATTTTTATTCTTTTGCAATTTACAATGAGTGATTTACATATTACAGTGGACCCCTGACTTATGATGGCCTCAACCTACAATAAAACAGACTTACGATGCTTGTCAGCATAAAAATTTGACCCTGACCTACGTTGAAAAACTTGACTTACATCATTTGTCCCGTATGCGTCCATGCCTCCATCTGGCCTGAGTGTGCCTCAGCTACCCTGCCTTCAGTTAGTGTGCCAATGTTTATAAGCCAGTGTGGTTGCTTCCATGCATACATTTGGAACATTTTGTATTATTCCAGTGTTTTTAGTGCTTGTAACTGCTAAATAAGCCACCATGGGCCCAAAGAAAGCTTCTAGTACCAACCCTGTGGTAAAAATGGTGAAAATCACAATTGAAATGAAGGAGATAATTAGTAAGTTTGAAAGTGGAGTGCGTGCCTCTGAGTTGGCCAGGTTGTACAACAAACCCCAGTCAACCATCGCTACTATCCTGGCTAAAAAGGCAATCAAGGAAGCTGTTGTTGCAAAAGATGCAAGTATCTTTAGGAAACAGATCGCAAGTACTCGAAGATGTTGAGACTGTTATTGGTGTGGATAAATGAAATATAGATATTAGGAGATAGCATCTCTCAAGCGATCATATGTGAAAAGGCAAGGCAGTTGCATGACGATTTAATTAAAAAAATGCCTGCAACTAGTGGTGATGTGAGTGAATTTAAGGCCAGCAAAGGTTGGTTTGAGAGATATAAGAATGTAGTGGCATACAGTGTGTGATAAGGCATGGTGAGGCTGCCATTTCGGACAAAAAAGCAGCTAGAATTTTTTTTTTTTTTTTTATCATCACACTGGCCGAT